GAGATTTCAGATGTTTCATTCTGGAAAAAGGCTCTCCTAACTTCAAAAAAAAAGGCCCTACTAACTGCAAAATAAAAAAAAAATAGACCTCCTAACTTCAAAAAAAAACAAATCCTAACTTGTTCTTACCTCAGTCTTCAGGCAGCAGCAGGCTCTACACAGGCAAGCTTGTGACTCGTCCGATCACACCTGAGACTGAGAGGAGGAGTCGAGAGACAGAAGGAGAGGAGTCGGAGTGTGCGGCGCACATTCCACACATGCGCACTGCCGCCGGGAGGAGTCGGCTGCTAAGCAACAGGCAGCAGCGGCAAAAACACCTGGCGGGCCGTAGTTTGAGGACCCCTGCTTTAATAGGAAGCAGAAGGTTGGACTTTTCCCACGGTGTGACAGACAGAGCTGGGACATTGGGAACCCAGGAGAGGAACTCCTTTGATTTTTGCATCACAAATAAATCATCTTGCCACACCACAATCTCCCGTGTGTGGGTCTGTGAAATGTTTTTTCATGATCCCTTGAAAGAGCCTGATTTCCACCAACAACAGGACTATTAGCAGCATTCTCCTATGTTTTCTGACCTCTACTCTGAGAATGCTTCCTTTCAGAGTCTCTGAAAGCCAGCAGTCAACCTGAAGGCTAAGAGACCCACCCCCACATACACCTGCTGCTGACTTTTGTTCCTCCAGCCCTAGTTTTGTAAGCACCTAATTCCCTGTGTTAAATCCCTCTCTGATCAACATACCTAGAGTAATATGTATTTTCCTTAATTCTAACTTATTGGAAAGAGACTACAATCTAGAGCAGCACCATCCAGTAGAAAAATCATGTAAGTCACACATGCAAGCCACACATGTAATTCAAATTTTTCTAGCCACAGATGTAATTTAAATTTTCTAGCAGCCACATTAAAAGGTGAAAATAAAAAAGGTGAAATTAGTTTGATAATATTTTTATTCAACCCACTATATCCAAAGTATTATCATTTCAACATGTAATCAATATAAAATATTAATTATACCATTTCCTTTTTGTACTGTCTTGATACAGTGCATATTTTATACATATAGCCCTCCTTGATTCAGACCAGCCACAATTCAAGCACTTCCTAGCTACCTGTGACTATGGCTCTCATTCTTTATAACATAGATCTACATAAGAACTTAGGGCACAATATGATCGCGGACCATTTTGCTGCTGTTTAAACAAACTTGGGGGCTTGGCCAGGGATTTTGTTTCTGCAACTACAGTTGGCTCAGCTCTCCACCTGGTCCTTTAGGTGTCAGTCTAGTGCAAGCTGACTCATGCCCAGGTTGAATCAAAGGCAGCCTTTTGGATGGGGAAGAATGGAGATCTGTAAGCACCACCAAAACTACATGGAAAATTCCATCAGACAAGAAGGGGTCAGGTCCCAGGGTGCTGAGAGAGTCTGCCTTGTGATGGGGAGAGCTCAGCTGCAAGGTAGGAATGGGGCTGTTCCTGAGCAGTGTAGCTCTCAGCTGAAACAGCAGACACACTGGCCTGAGCCCTGCCATCATGGCCACCAGGAGTGAGTGATCTGACAGAAGGGAGTCAGTGACTTGTTTGGAGAAACGTTAGGCATGCCCAACAGCATGAGCAATAAACACTCAGCTTTGGAGACTGTATCTTGCCAACCATGAACCTGAATCTCACACACACACACACACACACACACACACACACACACACACACACACACCAGATGTAAGGATGGATTTCGGAAAGACAATAGTTACCAAGGTCAGGTCAAGCCAGGATGATGCATGTCAATTGTGGACTACACAAACACATTGAGAGCAACTCATGACCCAGTAACTGGAAGGCAGGGAGAGGTGGAGAAGCCAGGTGTGCCTGCCCTAAGGCTAGAATGGACTATGGCAGGGGTGGGCAACCCCTGGCACGCGTGCCAAACATGTCATGCCAGTAACTTTTGCTGGCACACGAAACCCTCTCTTATAATCTTCCATTTACAATTTTTTTCTTAATATCGACTTTTTTATTTTTCAGATAAATTCAGTGTAGGTGCATCTTAGATAAATAAATAATTTTACATAACAAGTTATCTTAAAGACCATAGACATGGATTGACGAGAGAGGGGAAGAGCAATTTCTATGCCTCTGCCTTAACTCTCCCTGCCTTCCTAGATCAGACCAGTGTTTTGGTTTCATCCACATACGCTTGTGAATCTTTGTTCTCAGTGATGAATTTTGTTAAGTCTCGTAATAGGAGTAGCCTGACGGATGAAAGTAGTAGCTCGTGCATATCTCTGAAGGTCACGAAATATAAACCTGATGTAAAATCTCTGTCATCAGTGATGCAGCAGCAAAAGTCCCACTGATAATATCAAACGGAGTCATAAAGTTTTCTGTCGGACTATCAGTGTACATGTATACATTAAAAAATAAATGTATTTTTCATCATCATATACTGTGTTTTTGTCACTCGAATGAATTTTATTATTTCTTCAAGGTTCTTCACATACATACACCTTAAGAGATATCAAGTAGGCATAACATGTTCTCAAAAAATTAGGGTTGGCACGCAGAAGAATTTTGAGTCAGAGATTTTGCTGGTTTTGGCACGCACTCACAAAAAGGTTGCCCACCCCTGCCCTAGAGGGTATTATGCTAATGGAAATAAGTCACACAGAGAAAGACAAATACAATATGATTTCACTTATGTGGAATCTAAAGAACAAAATAAACAAAATAGAAACACACTCATAGATACAGAGAACAGACTGGTGGTTGTCAGATCAGAGTGGGGTTGGGGGCTGGGTGAAAAAGGTGAAGGGATTAAGAAGTACTAATTGGTGGTTACAAAATAGTCATAAGGATGTAAGATATAACATAGGAAATGTGGCCAATAATTTTGTAATAGCTATGTATGAAATATCAAGGGGACAACCACTATGCTGTACACATGAAACTAATACAAAATAATATTATATGTAAACTGTAATTGAAATAATAAATATTAAAAACAGACACAGCTTCAAATTTATTTAATTTTAGAAAAATTTTACCAAAAATGTTTTCTAAATTGTGACATAAGATGTTCAGTGTTTCCAAAATAGTTTACTTGGAAACAGTATTCAGAAACTCCATATATGAATAGCACTACTTTAATAAAGAAGGTCAAACCTTCTTTAAGAGCATTCATTATATTCAGGTTCAAACAATTCAGACAGGGCAGAAAACCTACTCTTTCCCTATAAATTGTAAAAACATAATTCTAATGTTTGTGAATAAATGTAAATTAATAAGTCACTAATCATGTACTTCTGTTTTTTTTATAGACATATGGTAGAGAGAGACTGTGAAAGTAAAGGTAGTCAATATGGAGAAAACTTCAACCTTATTTCAAATCTTAATCTGAATAAGAAAACTTCTAAAGTAAAACCATGGGAGTGCAGTGTGTGTGGAAAAGTCTTCATGAGTCGTTCATCCCTTAATAGGCACATGAGATCTCACACTGCACCCAAACCATGCAAGTATCAGGAATATGGAAAGAAACCTTACAAATGCAAGATATGTGGGAAAGCCTTCAGTTATCTTCAACCTTTTCAAAAACATGAAAGAAATCACAGTGTAGAGAAATCATATAAATGTAAGGAATGTGGGAAATCCTTTAGATATCGTCAATCTGTTCGAAAACATGAACGAACTCACACGGGAGAGAAACCCTATCAATGTAAACAATGTGGGAAAGCCTTTAGATATCATCAAACCTTCCAAACACATGAAAGAACTCACACAGGAGAGAAACCCTATGAATGTAAGCAATGTGGTAAAGCCCTCAGTTGTCCCAGTTCCTATCGAAGCCATGAAAGGACTCATACTGGAGAAAAACCCTATGAATGTAAAAAGTGTAATAAAGCCTTCAGTTGTCCAAGTTCTCTTCGAAAACATGAAAGAACTCATACTGGAGAGAAACCCTATGACTGTAAGGAATGTGGGAAAGCCTTTATTTCTCTCGGAAGCTTTCAAAGACACATGATAACACATACTGGAGATGGACGTTATAAATGTAAGGACTGTGGGAAAGCATTCAATTGTCCCAGTTCATATCGAATACATGAAAGATCTCACACTGGAGAAAAACCCTACGAATGTAAACAATGTGGTAGAGCCTTCAGTTGTTCCAGTTCCTTTCGAACACATGAAAGAACTCACACTGGAGAGAAACCCTATCAATGTAAGGAGTGTGGAAAAGCTTTCCATTGGCTCACGACTTTTCAAGTCCATGTGAGAACTCACACTGGAGAGAAACCCTATCAATGTAAGGAGTGTGGAAAAGCTTTCCATTGGCTCACGACTTTTCAAGTCCATGTGAGAACTCACACTGGAGAGAAACCCTATCAATGTAAGGAGTGTGGAAAAGCTTTCCATTGGCTCACGACTTTTCAAGTCCATGTGAGAACTCACACTGGAGAGAAACCCTATGAATGTAAAGAATGTGGGAAAGCTTTCATTTATCGTACAACCTTTCGAGGTCACATGAGAGTGCACACTGGAGAAAAACCGTATAAATGTGAAGAATGTGGGAAAGCCTTTAGTCGACCCAGTTCATATAGAAGCCATGAAAGAATTCACACTGGAGAGAAACTTCTTCAGTGTAAGCATTGTGGGAAAGCCTTCAATTGGCCCACATCCTTACATAAACATGTCATAAGAATGCACACTGGATAAATTATAACTGATAAATACAGAAAGGTTTTCACTCTTTACAAATACACTCAAAGTTATGTGAAAACTCCACTGGAGAGAAATGGCTATAAATGTAAGTTATATGGGAAAGCCAGATGCAAATTAATTTACATGTAATACTCCAGAAAATTAGTGACATAAAAGAAATGTTTCAAAGTTAGAAAAGAGGTGCTGGACACACAGTTACTCCTCTACATCCAATAAAATAAAGTAGCCAGCTTCTGACTATCTGTGTTAAAGAAGGAAAGTCATGGGGTAGGTAGTCTAAAATGTAAGTAAAGATTTAAAATTATATTCAATTTATATTCAGCATTGGAATGTGCTTATACATTATGGAATATGGATCTGTTTTATTCCATGAACTTGCAGCACTGCAAACTAAATAAATCCAAAACACAAAGTGTTGGGAAACTGTCCATATTTTCTCTCTGTATCTATTCTAATGCTTTTGGCTGCAGGAAACAAAAAACCTGACTGAAGCTGACTTAGACAATAAGCAAACTCACTGTCCCACAAAACTGAGCCACGGGTTGGGATTTGTGGATCTAGCAACTCAGCATTATAATCAAGGTCTCAGGTCCTTCCATGCCTCTGCTATGCTGTTCTAAGTGCTGGCTTCATCCTCAGGCTCGTAGCAATATGGCAGCAGGACTTCCAGACATCATCTGCAGACATGACAAGGTTGAGGGGAGAATGAAAAGCCATCTCTATAGAACAAGGAAACCTCTCCAGGCATCACAGCATGCCTCACTTCACTACCTGCCATTCCAAAACCATCACTATCAAGGGAACATAATAATTGCAATGGACTTGGACTAATCTAAGGGTGGAAAATGGTTGTTGGTCAAACACAAGATCCACTGCATACACCATCGTTCCCCCCAAGAGGCCCCTTCCTGTGGCTACTTTGTGAGAGCATCACCGGAGAATAGACTGAGATTTTTGACTAACACTGAGCATCAGTGTTACAAAGACGGTTGTTGGTCAAACACAAGATCCACTGCAGACACCATCGTTCCCCCCAAGACGCCCCTTCCTGCGGCTACTTTGTGAGAGCATCACCAGGGAATAGACAGATTTTTGACTAACACTGAGCATCAGTGTTACAAAGAGATGCCTTCCTCCCACCTCCTTCCTTTCAGGTTTGCTCCTTCTGAGGAGTGGTGAGAAACTAACTGTGTGTTTTAGTTTCAAGTTCTTTCTACCTATGTGCTGTATGTGACAGAAATAAGTATAAACAAAGGTAATGTTCCCATCACTAAAAGACAACTTTGACTGAATAAGTGGGAGTTCAGTAAGCCATTAAAAGAAAGATTCGCCATGAGGGAACACAATAATCACCAGCCAGCCCATGTTCAAGGTGAATATGTCTATTAGGATAGGTATCATGTTCATTGTTGTCATTTCCAGAAGTCTACCTGAGCCTAAGGTATTTTTCAATACTAATGATCAGATAAGCGTGTAGGATATGGTGTCAGGGACAATTCTCCTTGACTCAAAGGTTCCTTGTGCAAAGGTTTCGTCCTTGGCTAAAGCACCCACCCCAGCAGCTCAGAAGCAGACACTTGGGGAGTATTCTTATTAAAGGCATATGATCCCACAGGAGAAGGGATGGGTTGATGTCACTAACTTGCTGAGATAATAAACACCTAGGCTGCACAAAGCCCCAGCTGGAGGTTAAGAAGAGAATTGCCTACAAGCAATTTACGCAGAGCAGCTAAGAAATAAAACACAGTGTCAGATGTGCCTCTGAAAACCGGTGTGGGAGTCTGTTCCATTTTTCCCCCTGGAAAGAAACAGGAGGTACAGCCACTGGCTACATTTATTTTTGGAGCATGGAGAAGGGAGAAGAGAAATACATAGAAAATGATGTAGACATATGGATTGATATGATTCAATCCTGGAGAAAAAATATCCATCTCAACATGTCAGAGTTAAGAAGGGCCATAGACTCGTGACCTTGCCATCAGCACAGCATAATTTGGTCTTGCTTTTTAATAGTAGAAAGGGCAAGAATGCCAGAATGGAATTATTTTGGACTAAAAATTTGACAAAAAACAAATGCTTGATTTATCTTACACAGCCACACTGTGTTCTAGAGCAGTGTTGTGTGAATCACCTGGGGACCTTACTCAAAGGCGATTCTGATTCAGAATGTCTGGAGTGAGGCCCAAAATTCTGCATTTCTAACAAGCTCCCAGATGATGCTGATGCACAATTTGAGTAACCATGTTCTAAGCTATATGTGATAGAGCGTAGGGTTTATTGAGTTAGCATAGGTGTGGTAATTATGTGGTTTGAAGATGTATAAATGTTAAAACAAGAAGGAACCCTCAAAAAGTTCAGATTACCAGGATAATATCCAGAGTGTGTGTGTATGTATGTGTATATATATAACTCCTACAATGCTACAACAACAAAAACAATTTTAAAATGGGCAAAACTTGAATTAAAAAGATACATAGATGGCCAATAAGTCCATGAAAATATGTTGAGCATCACTAATCATTAGGAAAATACAATCAACCACAATAATGAGATATGACTTCACATCTATTATGGTGGATATTATAGACAAACAAAAAATAATAAATGTTGGCAAAAATGTGGAGAAACTGGAAATCTTGTGCATTGCTGTCAGGAATATAAAATGGTACAGGCTCTATGGAAAACATGGCCGTTCATCAAAAAAATTAAACAGAGGATTCTGGGATGATGACAGGGTAAGAAGCACAAGGAATTTGTCTCTCCATCAAGACAGCAATTTCACTGGCAGAATCTATCTGGTATAACTATTTTGGAACTCTGGAATCTATTGAAGGTTTGCAAATCCAGAGGCAGACTTGGATGGTAAATTGCAGTTAATTTCAGTCCATTTCAGCTCTTAGCAGCTACCCATTGCCTAACCCCAGCCACATAACAGACAGCTATGCATATGTTCCTGGAGCCATTGCACACAGCTTGCTGGAGCCAGAGTGGGTAAAAAGGACTCTGTCCTCCAAATATCTCCAGGGATCTGTGCTATGATCACTGATTGGTGTTTCTGAGCAGAGGTGCAGACAAAGAGGCAGGCAGCCATTGTTGTTGCACCTCCCCCCATTGTTGCAATCCCCTCCCCCTCCAACTAAAGTGACATCCAGAGGATCTAAAGGACCAATGACCCCTCCCCCCTGCTTTATTTTTATCTTTTTCCCCATTTGGAACCCCGGCATTAAAGACTAGGACATTTTCTTAACTTCATATAGGGGAAAAATTAGAAAGTAACCACTTATGCCCAGGGAAAGACTCAGAAAAGACCTACGAAGTTTTAAGTTTACATCTCACACTGAACTTCAGCAAAGAAAGCCTAGACTTATCAAAAAATAAAACAATAACAACCAAAAACCACAGAAAACCCTGGGAAAGAGGGAGAATATGATATCTAGAATTACCACATTATTAGATTCAAATGTCCGGTTTTCCTCAAAAAGTCACAATGCATACAAAAAACCGGAATATATGACCCATTCAAAGGGGGAAAAAAATCAACAGAAATTGTTCCTGAAACAGACCTGATGACAGATAGGCTAGAACAGTGGTTCTCAACCTTCCTAATGCCGCGACCCTTTAATACAGTTCCTCATGTTGTGGTGACCCCCAACCATAAAATTATTTTCGTTGCTACTTCATAACTGTAATTTTGCTACTGTTATGAATCGTAATGTAAATATCTGATATGCAGGATGTATTTTCATTGTTACAAATTGAACATAATTAAAGCATAGTGATTAATCACAAAAACAATATGTAATTATATATGTATTTTCCGATGGTCTTAGGCGACCCCTGTGAAAGGGTCTGAGAACACCGCTGGGCGACAAAGGTTTTAAAACAATTGTCTTAAAGTTGTTCACCGAACTGAAAGAGGTTAACAAAATAATGTCAAGAAAACAATGTATGAATAAAATAAAAATATATCAACAAAGAAAAGCTAAAAAGAAACCAGAAGAAAATTCTGGAGCTGAAAAGTACAAGTGAAATGAAAATTTTACTAGAGGAATTCAAAGGCAAATTTGAGCAGGCAGAAGAAAGAATCACCAAACTTAAAATAGGACAATAGAATTTGTCAAAGCCACACTGACTGTTGCGGCTTAGTTGATTGGGCATTGTCCCATGCAACAAGGGGTTGCCAGTTCAATACCCAGTCAAAGCACATTATCTGTTTGTAGATGATATGATCATATATATAGAAAATTCTAAAGATTCCATAAAAATCTATTAGTTAATAAGTGAATTCAGCAAGATTCAAAATCAACACACACAAGATCAGTTGCATTTTTAGACAATGAATAATAATGATTGGGCATTGTCCCATGCACCAAGGGGTTGCCAGTTCAATTCCCAGTCAAAGCACATTATCTGTTTGTAGATGATATGATCATATATATAGAAAATTCTAAAGATTCCATAAAAATCTATTAGTTAATAAGTGAATTCAGCAAGATTCAAAATCAACACACACAAGATCAGTTGCATTTTTAGACAATGAATAATAATGAACAATCTATATATATAAAACCCTAATATGCAAATAGACTGAATGGCAGAACACCTGAACAACCAAACAACTGGTCACTATGATGTGCACTGACCACCAGGGGGAGCACGTAGAACATG